ACAGGGAGACAGGCACGGCTCCTTCGTGGGAGGGAGAGGCCGTGGGGGGTCTGATGCCCCATGTCCAGGCTCCACCCTGATCCCTCCGCTCCAGAATCAGCTTCTCCTGCTGGAGTTCAAGAGAAATAGGAAAATCATGTTTGAGAAATGGCAGGAAGGTGGGTGAGTGAAATGCAGACGATCGGAGAGCGTGACTGTCCCTTGCTTCAGCCTTCGTCCTCAGGCAGGTCCTCTGTCACACTCTGTGTGACTGGAAGAGTGGTTGAGTGTTTTACTCTGCGTGGCGGGTCACCTCGGAATATAAATGGGCCCCGCCACCATGGATCATCAGAGAGTCAAGAATAAGGATGAGACTCGACAAAAGCTTGGGGAGCTTCTCCTGGGATTTAGAGAGTCTGCCAGGTGCCAGGCACTGAGCCAGGCGTAGAGTGGACAGAGGCGAGAGGGCCTTTCCGTCCCTGTGCCTCACTGTCCGCAAGGTGACAGGAGCCCACGCAAACGTCAGGGGTCCCAGGCGTGCTTCCCACACACCCGGCTGCTTGCTTTGCTTCCTCTGGCCCGGGAGGGGCCCCAAGCTTCAGTGGCCCTGAGATCCCTTCTCCCCCTGACCCTTTGGGGACAGAACTCCCACCGAGTGGTCACCACTGAGGTGCCTGTGGCCAGGGCTTGTGTAAGGAGCAGTCAGCGCTGCTGTCTCTGGGGAAGTGACTGGAAATCCACCTTCCCTGTGTTGCATCCCTCGGTGCCAATGTCTTAGCCTTTTTAAAAAAAATAACCTCGAGAAGAAAGGCAGAGGCTCCCGGGGTCTCTGAGTGGCTTGTTAAGCGAGCGAGAACTCGCGGAGGAACGTGCGTGCTGGACATTCAGGGTGGGCGTCCTCGTGTCTGGTTATGGGGCAGATTCTGGGGAAAGGTCCAGAACGGAGACTGGAGAAGACGGGGAGAGGAGGCAGTCGGGGCCGGGGGTCAGTGACGGAGTGGGACAGCAGGACCACCGTCCAGTCACTGCCAGTTCTCCCGGCATGGAACTGGGCAGGAGGAGGGGGGAAACTCAGGGGAGGGGGCCTGGATCTGAAACGGCAGTGGACGGCAAGGGGGCGGCAGCCCTCCTTGGACCCCAGGTGTTGGAGGAAGGCACCACGGGGTCACCGTACGGGGCAGGGAGGAGGGTACATGGGCCCTCCGAGCACTAAGTCAGACAAAAGGACATTGGAGGCGACGTCTGATCAGCGCAGATGCCGCCGCCGCTGCCGCCTCTGCGCTAACACGGTTTCCCGTTCTCGCCCGCAGCTGGAAGGACGGCCTCGGCCTCTGCGCGCTCATCCACAGGCACCGGCCCGACCTCATCGACTACTCCAAGCTGAACAAGGTCGGCCTGTGGCCCACCCCGTGTCCTGCCCGCAGCCCACCCCGGGTCCAGCCTGCGGCCCACCCTGTGTCCTACCTGCGGCCCATCCCGTGTCCTACCTGCGGCCCATCCCGTGTCTAGCCCGCGGCCCACCCCGTGTCCTGCCCGCGGCCCACCCCGTGTCCTACCTGCGGCCCATCCCGTGTCTAGCTTGCAGCCCACCCCATGTCCTGCCCGCGGCCCACCCCGTGTCTAGCCTGCGACCCACCCCGGGTCCAGCCTGCGGCCCACCCCGTGTCCTGCCCGTCCCCGCATGTTGCCCGCACGCGAGCACATCAGCCCTGAACTCTGCATACACAGCCCGCCAGCTGGCCTGGCGCAGGGCCTGGGGAGACGCCCCCTGTCACAGCCGGGTCAGGACAGGACCCACAGCCGTCACCCTTTTTGTCTCACTTAAGCTATGTCTGTTGATTGGGCTCTATTTACTACGAGGCCTTTATGCGTGTGTGTTAACAGGTTTTATTTTTCTGATTGTAGATGTGAGGAGTGGAGCATGTAGTTTTTGGCGGGGGGAAAGGTTTGAATCCTTTCCGCCTTCTTTCTCAATTCCCTTTGCCTTTTCTGAAGTTCTCAGTTGCAGACATAGCTACTCAGAACTGGTTGACTTAGTTTGTCACACAAGGGACACTTTATTATCATATCCTCACTATTGATACGAGACGTTAGTTGTCACCTCAGACAAGAAGTTTGGGGACTTTTTGTTTGTTTTTTTCCCTTTTCAGATAATCAACTTAGGGAATTTTAATTTTCCCTTTAAGCTTAAGCTTCAACGTATCTAAGTTTGAAATAGTCTTCAAATTGTTCAAAAGTAGTTTTAAAATGCAGTCTGTGCTGGATGAAAGAAACCTGTGCCCTGTCCATCTCATGATGGACGGTCTGTGCTGCCCTAGAAGTGACGCCATGTGAGGACGAGACCGAGGGCCTCGTCCCACCCGCATTCCTCCAGATGGCATCAGGGCCCATTTCTCAGGTTGCTGGTGTGCTCAGTTGGCCCTCCATGGCACGTTGCTGTGTTTTGGTGGGACCCACCCCTGCACGCTGCCCTCACCTGTGCGACGTGGTTGTTGGGTGCTGTCCTGGCTTTCACCTGCCCAACCCCTTCCCCAGCCCGTCTCCACTGACCCTGGGGGAGCAGGTGCAGAGTTGACTCGTATTCTGAGATTGGCTCCACAGCATAGTGATGGGAGGCCGCTTAAGGATGGAGCAACCAGAGTCCTCAGCTTTTCAAAGTATATATTTTCTAATCTCTGAGCTATTTCAAAATGGTTCAGACATTCAGACAGTGTATATACATTTTAAATTAATCTTTAATTTGCAGAACGAGGGGCAGACCTAGTTTCACTAGCAGTTTCCAACGGTCAGTCTTTATTAGAAAAGGCCAACAGACCTGTGGTAATTGGCCACCTACAATAGGAGGAAAAAATGATCATTAACAATAGCAGCTAATACTGACATAGCTCTAGATAAGACACTGTTATAAATAAATGCACATGTTTATTATATATGTACACATGCATTAACACGTGTTATAGATTGCATATATTAATATGTTGTATACACATACATTAATTTCAATGCCTATATTAATAAGTATATATTATATACATACTCATTCACTCGTCATAATGCACGGTCCATATAATGTGAAGTAGGCATTATTCCAGTTTATAGATGAGGAAAGTGAGGAATTTGGTAATCTGCCCAAGGTTACGCTGTCAGTTGCTGAGTCAAGAAGACACTTAATTGCCACCTCCTTTCTTTAAGTTAGTCTATGAGATAACTTTCGCAAAGTGTCAGAATCACTACTCTCCATTTTTAATGCGGAAATTTTTCTCATATATTAAAAAAACAAAATTTTTACTTCGCTATGTGGCTTGATGAACATTTGCATAAAATGTCCAGGTAGGCCTTACTCGGTGATATGGCTGCTTTAGGTGAAATGCTTATATACTTTGTTCAACAACATTTAGTTGGAAAAGCTTTTTGCCTGAAATAACTATATATTCTGTGAGGCCAAGAAGCTTACTTTGGTTTCTTGATTGAGTATTGTGAATGAGTTTTTGAAGCCTGCACTTTTTAACCGTTTCATTATATTAAAAGGATTATATCCACTGCAAAGCTTTGCAGTTTCTAAAATGTTTAGATGGCTTTGATGTTAAAATCATTAAAGTCATTCCCAGACTAACGCTACTTTCCGTTCTGATTTTTCTTTCTCACGTTCCTCCATCCCAGATTCATAACAGTCAATCTCTTTAGTTGATAAAAATAAGAGATGTTAAATAAGGCTTTTAGTTTTTCAGTAATTCAGTTATACGCCTCTGGTTAAATTTCTTTTATGTTAACATATATTTAACCAGTTGTACAATGGAAGGTAAATGCAATCTTAAAAACAAGGATTTCTTCATAATTTCAAGTTTTCATGGTTTCTTCTAGTCTTTAGCATCCAGAAATGCGATTTTCGTTCTTGGAGCCATCTCGTGACATTCAGCAGTGACCACACTTCCACCTGAGGTCTCAGTCCCTCCTCCTCTTATGCCTCTGCTTCCTCATGTTTAAAACGAGGGTGCTGGACCCCATATTCTCCACAATCACCTTCCAGATCCAGAGAATGGATGTTTCATGCTTTCATTCAGAATTATCTAAATTTTGTTATCAATACCATTGAAAATAAGTTCTGACACTACGTGTGCAGGGTGTTTGCTCCTGTCCAGAGAACACGTCCATGATGTCCCTCCCCCATCAGAGCCTTCGTTCTCGTAAACGTTTGCTTACATTTCGTGTATTGCCTTGTGCATAGATCGTGTGGTTTTCGTATCATTTTTGATGTTTTTGTAAATGTTTGAAACGATTGGGAAAAGCTAAGAAGGAAAATTATTTATAAAATTATGGTTTGGTGTGGATGAGAGGGAGGGTCTCTTCCCAAAAGTGAGGTAAATAGAAAACATCATTCATATGTCCTTTGCAGGAGTACATTTTAAAAAATGGATTATGCTGTTTTTCGTGCAGGATGACCCGGTAGGAAATATCAACCTGGCCATGGAAATCGCAGAAAAGCATCTGGACATTCCCAAAATGCTGGATGCCGAAGGTGAGATGAGCACTGTGTTATGACTCATAAAATCTACGGGCTGCGTGTGCTGCGGCCGTGCATGGGGATCGAAAAACTTATAATCAAAGTCTATCTGAAGTACTTAGGATTCCTCGCTGAGTATTAGAGGATTTCATGCGTGGCTTGTCCATGAATTATTTTTTTAATCCTGCACAAAAACAAGCTAGCAAAACTATAGTGAAAGGATTTGGTAAAAGGTTCAGCTTTGGCAAGGAAACAGAGTGCCTTGGTTTGTGATTTTCAAAGAAAACTTCCTATTTTAATTGTTTAACAACATAAAGTAATTTCCTTATCACATAGAGACAAGTTTAGTAAATAAATCTTGTGACTTTTCCACAAGGAAAAAGTCCTTCTTTCCAACTAAAAGTTATAGAGTCAAAATATAGGATAGAAAACATCAGCATACCTCTCGAACTTCCCCATTTCATTTTTAATTAGTCAAAATCAAATTTAGTTTAGTTCAATTCGACAGAACTTCTAAGTACTTCGCAGCATAACTCATGCTGGGGAATAGTTTCAAATGCCTTTGTGCCCTGTATATGTGATAGATCGGTGAGTTGTACTTACGACCCACGATTTAAAGCACAGATGTGGAGGTTGTCCATTCGTTTCACCTGTGCATGATTCACTTGTCACTCAACAGACATTTATTGAGCACTTACTGTGAACTAGACCCTTTGCCAGGCACTGCAGGAGGTAATGAGGTGTGTAAGGTAGAGTGCTGACCTCAAGGAACTTAAATTACTGTATTATGAACATTATTCCCTAAAGGTGTGTTGCTTCCGTGAATTAGCATCGTTGGGAAAAGCAAAGAACTTGGTTATAGTCAATAGTCAACTTTCTGTTCCTCCTTATTTTTGGTGATTATTGCGTTGAGGCTTCTGTAACAAACTACCAGAAACTGGGTGTCTTCAAACAACAGAAATTCATTCTCTGATAGCTCTGTGGGCTGCAGTGAAAACTGAGGTGTGTGCGGGGCCATGCTCCCCCGGAGGCCTCCCCAACAGCACCCTTCCCGGCTTGAGGCCCAGGCCTTCGCTGGCCTGTGACAGCACCGCTCCGATCTCTGACTGTCTTTACGTGGCCGTCTCTGTGTCTTCCCCTCTTCTCCTGAGGGCAGCAGCCACATCTCTGCTCCAGCACCTCACCTGAACTGGAACATCTGCAAAGACCCTACTTTAACGTACCTTTTTGGGGGACACAATTCAACGCATAACATTGATCTTTCTATTAGCATTCTAATTGTGCCCATTTATTAATTTAACCATTTAGCAAACAGCTGTATTATTGGCGTAGCCGCTCGAATACGCTCCAGAATTCTACTGTGGTTTCTCCAAAACTCTTTAGAGGGAGAAAGTCAATAAAACCATGAAGTAGCAACATCGAAAAGCTCCTTTCTCTTTCTCTTCATCTCTCTTCTCCGAGTTTGCATTTGTGTGGTCTCTCCTTGGACCTTTCCGTTCAGTAAATAATGAAAATACCCAGAGTTTACCCACTGGAACTGAGAGCTAAGATACTAAGAGAAGAGAAAACCGGTGGCATTTAGTAAATTCCTCTTCCAGTTCACTAATGCCTCCCTGGTAGTCTACAGTTCAGGGCAAGTTCAGGGTCACCATCGGTACTGCTCCGGCCTGCTGACATTTTTCACGGTTCTTAGGTTTGTCCGTGGTCTCTGACCCCGGTCGGGGCGGGTATCCATTCTGCTCGCCCTTCGTGGCTGATGGGAAGTCTCAGCAGTCTATTCATTTCATCCTCCTGTGGCACATCCCAGGCTCCCACGACTTTTCATCTTTCCTTTTGAATGATTCGGAGAAATGCTCACACACTTTTCTTCATGAGAATCTTCTGGCTGATGGGGGCTGGGGCGTGCTGTGACGTACCTACCTGCCCGGAAGGTCCCCCCACATTTACCTTTCGTGCCTTCGCTGCTGACAGTCAGACGTACTGTCACCACAGATCATGTTTTTTCTTATTCCCTCTCCCCTTTTATTTTCGTGTCATACCTTGGGCTCCTCCTCTGAGACCACTGCTCCCTCTTGGCTAATCCTTGCCCTCCCACCTGCTGCTGTTGACCTGACTTTCTGTCATGTGTGTTGGTTTCTGAACCTTAAGTGGGAATTTTTGAGTGGCTAATTGCAACTGTTAACTGTGGTTAAAAAAAAAAAAAACAACTTGTGAAATTCTTTATCATCTTAATTATGTTCATGCTTTTAAAAGGTTGTGAAGGTGGTTTCCCTGTTTTCGCCCACAGGCCTTTTTTGAAGTGGGCACCAGGGTTAGATTTGTGGGTGCATTTGTTCCGTGTGGACTTGCAGAAGGGGTCTTAGTTGGCCCCTGAGTCGCCACGCGTACCGCGATAGAAGTCTGGGAACGTGTCGTGTGCGTCCCGTTGGGGCCTGGAGGTCCAGTTCTGGCCGCGGCGGTGCCTGACGTCTGAGCTAGCCATGCCCGTCTCCTTGGCAAGTCCTTTATTTCCATCGGCAATTCTCAAAAGGGCTGACTTTGCAGGTGCGACGTCTTCGATTTGAGCCTAAGTTTTCACAGCATGAGTGTCGGGGTGAAGGAAGGTTATAACTGACTGCCCCGAGGCGCTCAGTGGGGGACCTGCCGGTGTTGGGACATTGGAGCCGTTAACCTTCTTTTCTCCACACAGATTTAGTAAACACTGCCAGACCCGACGAGCAAGCCATAATGACTTATGTCTCCTGTTACTATCATGCTTTCGCTGGTGCACAGAAGGTGAGGACGTAAAGCATGGGTCGCTGCTCACCCCTCACCTTCTGTGTCTTAATTTTTTTTTTCAATTGTTTTTCTCCTTTTTCTCCCTCTCCTCCGAGTAAGGAGACCCGTCTGGTTCTGAGGAGACGGTCGTGTGTCCTTTTCAGTCTCGTTTTCTTTGGGACTGACTTTCTGTCCATGCGCTGGTATGCCGCTCATGTTCGTCTTCCAGAAGACTCCTTTCTGTTACACAGCCTCACATCCTTCCTGTTAATGTGCTCTGGAAACCCAGTGACTCGGTTTCACTTTAGGGACTTACGAGGTGTCTTTCTAACTTCATTCTGCGCAGCGACTGAGCTGAATTTAAAGTTAAAAAGCAGAAAACGGTGTTGCCACAGGGGAGGAAGAAAGGCCGTGTGTCACGTGGTTCGGGCTCCTGCCCGCGGGTGGCTCAGCGGCTAACACGAGGGGCAGCAAGCGTTGTAATGTGTACAAGCCGAGCGTCCCCTTCTCTTTAGATGTTCTGTCGCTCCTGGTGATTTCTGTAAATGGCATGGTAAGTATGTGTAGAGGACATTGCAAGACGTGCTTCTCCAGAGAATTTCATCCTCACACCTGCGGGCTGTTTGCAGGGCAGGGAGCCGGCGGTCACGGGGTGGTGCGGAAGGGGACAGCAGGAGGGATGTGTCCCCAGCCTCTGCTGCTATTCCCAGCATCTCGAAAAGTGACATGTGTCACTCAGAGCAGAAGTGGCAGACGACCGGGTCAAGAGGACGTGGGTCCCCCAAGTCACTAGGAAGTGGCAAGAAGCCCCCCACCCACGAGCACACGGGCTCCCTCGTAAACGCCTCGACTGCATTTTAAAAGCCTGTCAGGCGTGGGGGAGGAGAAAGCTCTCAGTTTGCTTATTCAAGAAACGTTCGAATCATACCGTTCGCGAACCATCCCAGCAGGCTCGGGATTGTGGGCCCAGGAAACACACAGAAAATCGATGGGCGTAAACCAGCTCGTCCTTCCCTTCGTTCACCCTGGTTTCTGCTCTCGTGTGTGTGTGTGTTCTCTGTGCTGTTTTCCCCCCTCAGACATCGTGAACACCCCCAAACCGGACGAGAGGGCCATCATGACATACGTGTCCTGTTTCTACCATGCTTTTGCGGGCGCGGAGCAGGTACCCAACACGCGTCCATCTGGGGGCTGTGCTGCTCCTCTGCATGCGTGTCCGTTGTGTGTGTGCGTGTGCGTGTGCGCGCTTCACATCTTACCTTGGAATCTAAGTGTTTCGTGGTAACCTAATGTGGCACGTTCCAAACTGAGACTACTTTCTAAAAACCAGCTTTAACTTCGGACAGCTCCTGAAGTGTGTTTACCTCTCTTTCCTTCTAAGAGATTGCCTTTCGTTTCATTAGTATGTCGTGTGACACATTCGTGTGTTAGGAAGCGGCCGACGCCACGAACACTGAGCCACGTCCACTGAGCAGCACGGGGAACCGGCCCGGCCCCCTCCTCGGCCTGGAGAAAGCCTCCTGTGCCCAGCGATTCGCCCTACCGTCTTTCAAGACTGATCTTATTTTAACTGAAATAGGAAAGACATAACAGTGTTAGAACCTCAAAAACGTTCTCATTCCTTAAGACAAATAGCCTGAGGGATATTGTGGGTGAATGTTCTTTCTCTGTATTTATCTGTTTCCGTCTCCTTCCCCCTCGTGAGTCCCAAGAGACTGGGATGGACAGAGGATGTGTTATTATTCCTGGGGTCTGTTTAAGACCATCAGTGGCAGCGATGACCGGAAACCAGCCTACGTGAGGGCCTTAGAGGGGAGGCTTCAGGACAGGCCAGGAAGCCCGATGGGTTCCTGCGGTCACCGTGTTCGCTTTGCCACTCCGGGCCGAGTTTCCCTCCACAAAACGAGGATAGAGAGATAGGCCTCACCGACTTCTCACGAAGGTCACACAAAGTCTCAAAGCAAGTCCATCCCGGGGGAGGGTCCCATCCAGCGTGCTCTGCACGTTCACTCCAGGAGAGGCCATCAGTGAGCGCAGTGTGGTGACATACACATTCAGGACCCAGTCGCTTTTGCTTTGGTCCCCAAAGGCTGCCGTCACTCAGAGGCTCTCGCCCCACCGTCCTGAGGTCCGCAGGGCACCCAGGCACACGCTCAGGGACCGGCGATTTCGTTTCCTGACCCCGCTATTCCTCTTACTAACGTGCTCGACGTTTCACAAAGCTCGTGTTTTAGACTAATGGTGTCTCCCCGTTGTTCCCGACAGCATACCAGCCTGCCGTGTGAGTCTGTGTGAAAACTGTAACAGGTGTGGAACGGTTCGTAGCGTTGAGCAGCCACGCCCTCCGTCGTGTGCCTCTGTGACCTGGAATCCGCAGCACGCCGCCCCCCCCCGCCCCCCGTGCTCACGTCATGCATGCCCACCCCTGTCGACAGAGCTGTCCTGTTTACCTATTGTGTTTTACAGGCCGAGACAGCGGCTAACAGGATATGTAAGGTTCTTGCTGTGAATCAAGAGAATGAGAGGCTGATGGAAGAATATGAGAGGCTAGCGAGTGAGGTAAAGGAACCGGCGACCCACAGTCCTGTCTGTGCCCCCGCAGAGGGTGGGGCGCAGAGGCTGACCACGGGCTGTCACTGTTGTTTTCTTTGCATTTTTCATCTCGGATGGAATGAAAGTAGGAAAATGCAGTTGAACTCGGAGCTGGCTCATCTCGTAGCGGTGTCATCGTGGGCCCGCTAAAGAGCTAACCCCGCGGCTTTTCCTGCCATCCCGAAGCCCAGAGGCAGTCTGCACGTTTGCGAAGGAGAATGCGATTGTATTCTCAGCGGGCGCCCCCGGGCTGGGGCTCCGACGACACACACCACGTTGCCCTGCGTGCTTTTGCCCTGCTTCCTGGGCTCCCGACAGCGGCCAGGCCGCTGCCCGTGTCCAGAAGCCTCGTGCACGGACCCCGCGCAGAGCAGCACATGCGGGACGTGGCTCGGCCCGTGTGTTTACACAGCTGGAGGGAAACAGGGAAGGCAGG